TACCATCAGATTGTTCATCATTCTCATGAAGGGCAACCAACTTAGCTGCCTTGTTCTTAAGATATGCCTCACAGATTTCATGCGGCTTCCTATCCACAAATGTCCCATCCTTCTTGGTATGAGTCCTGATGAACACTTCACCAATAGTAGGCGGTTTTCCCAATTCAACTTCCTCAAATGTTGTAACATAGATGTCACAATGTAACTAAACAAAACAAATTTAAAACAGATTTGTAACTTACCATCTCTTGCTCTACTTGTAAGAAGGACTTCGGACCAAATACATGCTTGTGAGGACCAAGGCCATTATGGTCAGACATTCTAGCTGCGGATGTGGTTGAACTCTTTTCTATGGCTTCTTCAGTGTCCCAATAGTCACACATCTCTTTCCACAGTTTTTTCTCAATCTAATACGGCTTCTCTCTTCTTGTCGCTGCCTTACTAACCATGTCTTTCATACGAAGTTGAATGATCTTATAGAATTTGGCTTCAACCACAAATGATCTTATAAAATTTGGCTTCAATCACACATGTTAGTGAGGGATGCCAGGTGTGTTGTTTCTACAAAACAAGAGGAGAGTGAAGCAGATTTTAGTGATCAGAAAACCAAAACTGAAGTATAAATACAGTAGTAGAAGAGGGATAGAAATTTAATGCAAATTCGAGGAAGTCTCTTTCTCTTATTCTAGTTTGCACACAGCTCCAACTGTAGTATGATCCATCAAACTTGTTTGTAAAACACTTGGTGATCTTCCGGGTCAGTTTACCATTATCCTATCAGTGTTTTTTTAGTTTTCCTCGAATATTTGAGAAAGTTCTTTTTAGAATTCGAATCAGTCATCAACCACACTGTCCAGCTTGCCATCAATACAAAAATATATTAAAAAACTGGTCGTTACTATAAATAATTATTATATGTTTTGGATATTCTCAATTTTTGAATTTTATGTTTATCTGAGGTTATTAATCAGTTACCAACCATTTATTCTATATGTTAGACTTATACGGAACTTGAAATTGATCACTAAGTAGAGTAAAGTTCAACATGCCTCTTTGTTGGAAAAACGGCTTTTCATACCTTAATCTAATAAGTATGTTCAATTCATACATTAACTATACCTCTGTACAGATACATATCTCAACTAAGAAAAAATTCAAATTTGCTATATGCCACCATTTATTTACTTCTTCTTCGTTTTTCCTCTCTACTGGAATTACTATTTGAGGATTTTCCAAAGTCCAAGATCCTTTAATGGCGCCATCAGCTTGTTCATATTAGCATTTTAATTTTCTTAAAGTTTCTAAATTGTAGTTAGTTTAATAGATTTCGAACTTGAACAATTGAAATTCCAACTTGAACAAATTCATGATGTAATTGTAGAACTCTAGATTTCTATAAATCTACATATTGTGATTCCAGTAGAGATAAAGAAGAAGGAGAAATAAATAAATGTTGGAAACGTCGTTTTGTCTCAAATTTTAGGTGTTTAATTTGGTTAAGATTTAAACGGTATAGTTAATGATATTAGCATCTACGTATGTTACAATAGACATAATGTTAACCACATCTCAGGATATGCATGTTATTGCACGAAACAAAAAGATTAGGTAGTGAATTTAAATTTTTGCTTAGTTTGGGTATGTATCTGCACAAAAGTATAGTTAAGGTATGAATTGAACATACCTATTGAGTTGAGGTATGAAAAAGTCGTTCTTCCCCTCTTTGCCACTCTGATTTTTGGCAGAGTAATGAAGGAAAAAAAAAAGTAATCTGGAAATTAAAAAATACAATGAATTATACCAATATAACTTACATTTTCTGAGGATCTACGTCTTCGAGGAAACAAACACTCCCTCAAACCGGGCCTTGTGGCCTAGTGGTAAAGGGGTCACAGCTGTGACTTCCGCCACCGGGGTTCAAGGCACGGCCACTGGCAGGTTTACATAGGGGAATTGCCAGCCTCGTGGGATTAGTCTTTGGGCCTAGGAAGCCTTTGGGAGACCCGCGGTTATTCAAAAAAAAAACACTCCCTCAAGCTATTGATATTCATCAAATTACAAGAGCTAACAAAGAAGCTTTGTTTAATACCGAACTATTTAATACTTTTTTTAATTAATAAACTTGTAAATATCATATAGAATGAAATGTTTAGGCTTTACAAAATATAGACCTTAACCTTACTACTGTGGCAAAAAAAAGAAATAAAAAAACAAGAGAGTTAAAGAACTCATTCTAACCACAGTTGCATTAAATTAGAGAATTTGTTGAGATGTCTTCTAGCAGTAATCGAGTTACGAACTACATAATTTATTAGAAGACAAAAGTGCCATTAATCTACTTAATGTATTAATCCTCTTAATGGTCCATATTTTCTTGAAGTTCACTAACAACCCGTTTGCAAGTGACTCCCTCGTAATCTACTTAATGTATTAATCCTCTTAATGGTCCATATTTTCTTGAAGTTCCATTTGAGTAAAGCTTGAACCTCTCCACCAGCAAGAGTATTGCCCACACAAGGGCTATTTAACCCCATGATATAATCTGAATTACGTAATGAAAATAAAATATGAAAATTCAGTAACAAAATTTAAATAATGAATTAAAAAATTACATATAATATTTAAATGATTAAAATCGTACAAAAACGATATATGGAACAATAGAAAAGTACATACATAATAAACAGAAATCTAAATTTACTAGTCTGGCATCCGCAAGCTGAAGAAGAATTTTTAAATAACCTCGAAATCTTTAGATCGACTGTCATCCTCCTCCTTCATATGCGTCATCTTCTCATTGCTTCACGGGATCCTTCGTCGCTTGAAGCAATTCTTGAGTCATGGACAAGGTCGGCCCTGTCATAAAGCAACTAAAGCACAAGCTTTAGGCCACTGAATATAAACTAAATTTTAGGGCCACATTTTTCTAAATGTTATATTTGCTCAGTGGTTATATAGTCCAAAAGTTTATTGTAGGTATAGAATTCGAATCCCTTTGAAGTCACGGTTCCTTCTTTTTTGGGGTAATATTTCCAGCTTCTCTCTTTAATTATCTCTTTATTCTTCTCTTCCCTCCAGTTTTTTTTAATAGATTTTATTTGCTAAAGTGCTCATGCTAATCATTTTCGTAAGAACAACAGAACTAATTACTATCGTCACTGTGATATTCAATATCATATATAACTGTGAGATTCAATATCTATGTTTACGAATCACGAACACGAAAATGACAACAATTACATTTCTGTATATATATTTCTGATTTAATCTATTATTACTCGACTATGAAAACCTAATTAATTACTGAATTTGTTGAAGAAAAAATTAGAAAAGTTTATTTTTGTGAACGGAAATAAATTAGATTGTCTTACGTTGTTAATATATTTAATGTTTTTTTTCATCAACTATATCTGATGATTTACAAAAAAAAATTATAGTGTTTTAATGTTAATTTTTTAATCATTAGTATATAAGAAGTCCACATAGTTTAAGCATGCTTTAGGCCACATAATGTCAAGGACCGGCCCTGGTCATGGAGCTTGCTGGAGTAAACGAGAATGATGTTACACAGCCCTCTGGAATGAAGTCTAAGCCGTGTCGACGTCCTTCTTCTTTACAAAAACATTCTAATATTGAAAACTAATAATTAAAACTAGTTACTTACAGAGATAGAGAAAATGTACTTACTGATTGGTAGAGCTTCTCCATATCAGTTTTTGACACCTCCCTGGACTAGATGGAGAATGCATGCGCCGCGCCCTTAGAGAGGAAAACCTAAGATAACTGCTTGCCAACCTTCTTCTTGACAACCTCGAAGATGGTCTACTAAATCTTCTTGTCGAAGATAGTACTATTGGAATTACCTCCTTAAAGTTACCTCTATAAGGGTTTTATGAGGAAAAAGTTCTCCAAATTCAAACAATTTTGGATTGATGTATGTTTGGAGATCTCTATATATACCGCCTTCATTGATGTTGAAGCCATTTGCTTTTCGTGATGTGATATGTTCTTGTCTAATGGGCCAAGTGTGTGGTTCAAATTTTGTCACCCATCTAAAAAGAATGCACTCCTTGATAAACAAAGCAAGCTATGTAAGGATATAATAGTACTCTGATCGATGAGCTCCTTTTCATAATTATCGTAGAGTGACGGTAGATTTATCTCTTCGGACAAGTTTATTTGGTTAAGGCCACATTTCCATCCTAACTTGTTTTTGGAGTTTAATTTTTTTTTCGAATATTCCTTTTTGTTTTCAGTTTTATATTTGTAAATTAAAGTTTCATAAAAGAAAAAAGATAAACACACAATATTAGTGGTTTTGTGTGGATCATCTACTCCGTTTTAGGAGTGTTAGAGCATCTCCAACCCACATCTATATTTATCTCTAAAATAGAGATTTCTATTTTTTTCTCTATATATAGAGGTGGGAATAGAGAATCTCTATTTTTTTCTCTATAAATAGAGTTAAATTTTTTAGAGGAAAAAATAGAGGAACACATTGGAGTAAAAATAGAGAAAATTTATCTCTATTATAGAAATAGAGCTAAAAATAGGGAAATACATTGGAGATGGTCTTAACCATCTTTTATGAATTAACTAGGTCCGGACCCGCACATACGTGCGGGGTTTTATATTTTGAAAGATGCGGGTTGAATATTTTTTGTATAACGTATAGTGAAAACGGGTCTAACATTTAGTGTTGGAAAACGTATGTATGGGGTTTTTTGTTTGATTGGTTAAAAAGATTGGAAAGAATAATTAGTAAGAATTTAGTAATTTTGATTGGTGAATGATTGGATATCTTGGTTTGGTTTTGTTGAATTATTGAGAAAGTTGCAAAATTGGTTGTAATATTTGTGAAACGAAATTATTATTCTGAGTTTTATTGTATATTTTTATTTCTTAAACTAAAAAATGATTTGTTTGGTGAAATAAAATTATTGTTTGTAATTTGATGCATATTTCATAAATATAAATGATTATAATTCAGATAAAGGCCCGTTAATGATTCCCCTTTTAATTAGGATTGGGCTGGATTTTTGATAGACCCATTTAGAGATCCATGGTTTCGTTTTTGTTTTTTAATACAGAATCAAATGTTTTTTTTTTCTTTTGGACAGAAGTGATTATAGCACGATTCTTTGTCTTATGGTCTTCAAAGAATGAATCCCTAAAAATCAGAAGCTTTTCCGATTTCTCAATCAATGTCAAAAGTTTCGATCATCAATCGAGTCTCTGTACATATAATTTCCATATCAGATTCGGAATTTCTCCAAAGAGGTAAGGTTTTTAGAGATTCTTCTTCAATCAATCTATTTTTATAATCTGTTGATTCATTTACAATCTTTGTAATTCTGTGTTTCAACAGAGATCTTGGGCTATTACTGTGGGTATACGAACTTGCATGAGTAAGTATTTTCAATTATATTTGTTGTTTAGATCCGTAATTGCATGTCTATAATTTTTGTGTTTATTCGGGTAACTCTATCTATTATCAAAATCTTCTATGCGTTGGAGTGAAAAGAGGCTATAATTTGATTTTGTATAGATTTAGGCAATAGATTTTGTTTCCTAATATTTAATTTGTTCCTAAATTGATTTTAGATAATGATTGGATGATGATTTTGTCTGAGGAAGACGATTTACAAAGTTAAGCTTTCTATTACAGCTCTTACATAACAAAACAATGTCTTAATATATATGGTTCTGATTTTACCAAATACAATGTTTACAGAGAAGGCAAAATATTCGAGTTGATTTCAATCTGAGAAGACAAATTTGATGTCCTTTAGTAGCCATAACGGAATCTGGAAGCTATTTTAAAGGTTAGATTATGTAATCTCTTTCTGAAATTGTAGAGTTGTTATATAAAACATATAGTTGTCAATCTATACTTTTAAATATTGATATTGCGTAGCTTAACAATTATGAGTACAATATAGTTTTTAGAAAACTTACTTAAATTTAGGGAATATACTAATTAAACTTTTTATGGAAAACAGAGTAAAATAGAGATTAAATACAAAAGAAACAAATAGGGTAGGTTTAAGTCGATTACAAAAGGAGTTTTCCATACCTCCAAGGAAGTTTTTAAAAAGACAGAGTTCATCTCCTCTAAAAATGTAAAAAGAAACAACATAAACTAAGAGAAACTGAAGTAACCTTGCAAATCCAATCCCTCCTTCCTTCACATGTTAGTTCTCATCAACCATCTCCATCATCACATCCTCTTCGTCACTTGATCCATCGTCGAATGATCGCCTGCAAAAAAACATATGCTTTATGTTTACCTAGGCTATGAATCTCAACCAAAATATAAGCCAATTATAAGAGAATTTTTAACTTACAGATAACTTGGAATGTCAAGTTCATAAAAGATTGGATCAATGTATAGACGTGAACAGCCATATTCACTCATTAAAACATTGTTTCCTATAGGAAAAAAAAAGATTCAGTCAATGTAACTAATAAAATTGTAAAGTCAGTTCATAAAACTATAATAAGAACCAACCACAGTAAGAAGTTATTCTCCAGAAACGCAAGACTGCAACAATCTTATCATAGTTGTAGTTTATTCCGCTTATTTTCTGAGACCAAGTGTTCACAAAGAACTCACACCACTTTCCCACAGCTACGCATTTTATTGTCTCCCCCCTAGATTAAAAGTTTAATTTCCAAACAAAAGAACAGTCAATCCAATTTCTTAAAGTAATTTAAGAACAACCATTGAAATTCTGTTATAGAGGGTAAACTAAACTTACACATTATTTTTAATTTTGAAGCAGACATAGCGAGATTCATAGTCTGTTTCTCCTCTGCGACACACATATGGAAACCTTCCTATGGTGGAAACAGCAGAGATAACTCCCATAGCATCTAAGTAAAAATTAAAGGAAAATGGTCATATAAGTCTTCATATATAATAAATCTTGGTATAAAACATTTAATTTCACAAATTATTACCAAAGACAGAGTTTTTATCATCTTCATGAGCATTTCTGACAGTATCAGGCCAAACAAAGTTCCAGTAATTGTTCCAAGACTTAGATCTAACAGGCCACATGGTAGTTCCACTCAAAAACTTAACCTGAAGTGGCATAGTTGAATATCTGACTTGGTTTTTAGGTATGATGACTTGAAAGTCAGTCATGTAGTACCAAACGTCTTGTTTGAGTCCTCGCTGAAAGTTCCAGAGGTAGTAACCTTGTGGAATTGTTGCGTCCATTAAATTCCCCTATACAAAGGAAAGAAACAAATTAGATAAGTAGTTTTTCAACCCTAGAACATGATTTTAAAAAGGTGTAAAACAGAACAATAGAATTAGAAACAAACCTTCTCATCTGCGAGAATCATTGTAGTTAGATCACCATTGAAAGGAGGATTATGATGCCAGATACTCATTATCTTAACACAAACCCTCCACTTTGTGGAATGTCTTCGCAAATCAGAGAGAAGGTGCATTTTCTCCATAGTTTCTAAAAGATTTTGTTTTGCTTTCAACTGGGAAGATATCTCTGTAAATCTAAAATCTCTCAACGCATATATATAGATATAGATATATTGGTTAAGAGACGCAAAGGATTAAAATAAAAAGAAAAGGAAACTGAATCGTTAATAGAATATATAAAATATAAAAATTTGAAAAGACTGATGCAAATCATTGCTAATTATTACAAAAGGATACAGTTTACATTTTTCAAGATACACCCAACGATTTAGATTTGCCTAGATTGTATAAACCGTCAAATATGGAAGTTTCTTTAGTTTTTGTTATTCATGATAGATTTTTTATATAATAGATTATATATAAGTAAAATATATAAGTAAATATGTACTTAAATAATAGTATCGATTTTTTGTAACAGGATCTAGATTTGCCTAGATTGTATAAACCGTCAAATATGGAAGTTTCTTTAGTTTTTGTTATTCATGATAGATTTTTTATATAATAGATTATATATAAGTAAAATATATAAGTAAATATGTACTTAAATAATAGTATCGATTTTTTGTAACAGGATCTAGTTTTTGCTATTTGTTAGTTACAATTATAATGGTACTGATGCTAGATAATTCTATGTTTACAGACCAGGCAACATCTTTAAAGAAGGCAAATGTGAAAGCAATGATAAAGCTAGTCCAGCTTCTGAAAGCACTGATAAAGGTTAGTGAGGTCTAAATGATTCAAGAAGTATTTAGATCCACAATTAAATATGAAGTTGTCGTGATGTGTTAATTGTTTTTCGAAAATGATTTTACTATATTCTCTGTTGACATGTATGTTAAATTCTGCAATTGGTTGATAAGATATTAAAGTAATACTACTTGTTTATATGAATTAACAGAATATTTAGATTCTGTATATGTTTTTGGAATTAGTAAACTTTTAATAGTTTACCTTTTTGTACTTAATATGATTTAAATGTAAATGAAAAATTATTTAAAACAAAGTTATGCTGATATTAATAATCAAAATTTCTGAATCTATATTATTAAAAGAGAATTGAGAGAATAACAGACCAAGTTTGGTAAAATAATCTCTTCAATGGAAGTCGTAGATTGAAGAGATTACTACCAAATTTCCATTTCCATACCAGCTTCTACCTGTTCAGACAACCAATAAGAAATTAGTAAAGTGTAACAGGTGAAAATAATAATCAGTTTTTATTGATTGTTACCTCTTAAACCAAATGTCTTTTGCAATGTGTAAGCTTATAGGTTCTGAAAGACTTCCTTAAACACCACATTCAACGTTTCCTTGTGCGGCTTTCCTTCTTTGTCCACTATGAGTATCTTCAGTCCTTTTTTTGAAGTTACCCTTGAGATAGCTACATAGAGTTGGCCATGAGAAAAGCATGGCCTTGGTAGATAGATGCCAACCTTATTCAACGATTGTCCCTGGCTTTTATTAATGGTCATAGCAAAAGCAACTGCTATTGGAAGTTGTCTTCGACGCATTTTAAACGGAAGTTTAGTATCAGATGGAGATATCAATATCCTGGGAAGGAGGACTTTATCTCCGACTCTATCACCTGTAATAATGACAGCCTCAATGACTTTATCACCCATTTGTGTTATTTGCAGTCTAGTGCCATTCATTAGCCCTCCTCTTGGATCTAAATTTCGTAGTAACATCACAGGACAACCAACTTTCAACCTTATACCATGATTTGGCAATCCAGATATCTTTAGACCGTTCAAAAACTCTGATGTCAACACGGGATTATTTGTACCTCCAATATCAGAAGGATCAACAGAATCTGAACTTAGGTATAGTTGTTCATCACCTACAAATAATTTAAAATGTCTTTATAATACATCATATCTCAATGAAATGCCTAAAATATTAAGAGTAGTGGAGACTAACCTTCGAGTTGATCAAGCATATAATCGTTGACAATACCCACATCTTCATTGGTAGGACATAAAATAGCCCTTTGTTGGAAAAATACAGGATCGGTTTCATCCTTCAATAACTTAGGATCTCCATAAACTTCCCTGCTTATTGCCTCAATTGGATTATCAGCGTTTGTGATCAAAAACTCTTTTGGAATTTCTATCATCACTTCTCCATCATTAGGCTGTGCTATCTTACCATCACCAACTGCTAGAATCCACTCTGAAAATTCTTTTATATCCTTAGCCTCACTTGGACTCAAATCCTTTGAAAGTAGCCTCATATTTTTCGTGAGTTTCAGAACTTTGCAATGATTCCAAAGATAAGAAGCATTAAGTGCAGCCATACAAATTTCTGCTCTCGAAGCACCATGTATCACAGGTAGTACTTGTCTGAAATCTCCACCAAAAACAACTACTTTGCCACCAAACGGTTTGTTTCCACCACCTTTAATAATGTCTTTGAAACTCCTATCCATAGATTCAAAACAATGCTTACTCATCATTGGAGCTTCATCCCAAATTATCAAAGACGCTTCTTCTATTAATTCTGCCTGATTTGAACCTTTCTCAATATTACATACAGTGAAGTCGTCTGGATTTATTGGAATACCAAACCGAGAGTGCGCTGTTCTCCCACCAGGTAACAATAGAGAAGCAATGCCGCTGGAAGCCACATTTAGCACAATAGAACCTCTAGATCTTACAGAAGCTGAGAGTGTCGTATATATAAAAGTTTTACCAGTTCCACCAAAGCCATAGACAAAGAAGACACCTCCCTTGTCATTATCAACAGCATCGATGATCTCTAAATAAACACTCTTCTGCTCATCTGTCATTTTCTGCAACGATTCTTCAAGTTTTTCCTTCTGTTCATTGCTATCGTAGCTTTTTTCATCAAGTATCAAGACATTACTATCATCAATTTCCTCATCAGGTAACTGTGGCATTGTTCTGAAAGCTGTTAGAGATGTTCCATTGCTTCGTAAGATGCTGTTGATTTCTTTTAAAGCCAACATCTGTTTTTGCTCGTCCGTAAGTGTTAGTTCTGTGTCCCAAAAATATGTAAAAAAACAGTGTTATTTGTAAGACAGAATAATCATGACAAAAACTACTTAAAATTGCAAAGTAACAACTCTTTAAACCAACCAAAGAGACTAAATTATTTGATCAAAAATTACCTGGTCTTTTAAAGTACTCTCTCCTTTTTCTTTCGATGTCTTCTGATAGAAGTTCCCATGTTTTTTCCCAAACAACTTCTGGTTGAGATAAGCTGGTAGACTGGAGCATTACAACAAACATACAACGCAAGTAGTTTCCAGTAGCCCAAAAACTGGTTGTCTTTATTGTATCAATATACTCCTGGTCATCGTCAAGCAAACCCAGAGCATAACATGCCTCCTTGAACGATTTGTACACCACGCCATTCACTGTTTTGATGTCTTCGAAACTTTCAGGTCCAGTTTGATGATTTAGAAGCACTCTTAAATAATAACCTTCCTCATAAATAAGTGGGACATAATTAATCCTTCCGATTGTTTTCCCTGGTCGCTTCCTCATATTGAAAGTTCTTGTTTTACCATCCCAAGTATAATATTCCGGAATCTGAGTATATGTTAGATCTTTGGCTTTAGGACACCGCTTGTTCAATTCAAACCAAGCAAGAAACATCGAATTCTGTAATTCTGATTTTTTCAAAACTGTTTTCACCTCATCATCACCTTTAAAATATAATAGTTGTTTGCCTGGTAGATGGAAGGATAATCTTTGAACAGACGTTGACCTATAATGTATAGGATTTTTCAAGATTCTCCATCCAGCTTCACATGCTGATACATATCTGATACAATATCATAAAACATGTATTAGTTAGAAATGAGTTAAGCATCTAAACTATTTACCTAAATCCAAGTAGATTTTATACCTGCAATTAAAGAAGTCTTGTATTTCATTTTTACTTGTGCCCCCACTGTTTGAACTATCAGACTTCTCTGTAGTAGTTGTAGTCTTTGTAGACTTTTCATTAGGCTCAACAACTACTGAAACTCTGTCCATCCCTTTAGTGATATACTTGAATAAATACTTGATAGAGCCAGTTTGGTTACACCACTCAACATTAATATGAGCTCTGTAGCGAAGCAGCAACTTCTTGTTATAGGGTATAACATATCCGTTGTCACACCTAAATCCACACTTCTCCACAAACAGCTTTGTCTTTCTTCTTCTGTACAAAGGGAAACCTTCTTTATCAACTTTAGTATGTTCTCTAAGTTTTTTTGGGAAAAACTTAGAACATTTCCCTTCAAGCATACATGGTGAATTCTGGTTGACGACGCCACATGGTCCATGAATCATCATGTCTTTTACGACCTCATAAAGTTCTGGTTCTTTAGTCTTGTCAGGAATTTCCGCAGAAATGATTTTATCAATGTCTTCTGGTTTTGGAAACTTAGAACTTGGATGCATCCATATCAATATATGTGCATGAGGAAGACCTCTTTTCTGGAACTCAATTGTATACATTGCTGCGAGAACAACATGAGATAATAATATTAGTTAAACGACATTTAGAAAAATAGCAGAAACAGATAATTAAATTATAGACTGTTAACGCAACTATTAAAATAAATCACTTACATGAAACAGTCTTCCCCAATATATGTTTCTTCGTTAAATCATCCATTAGAGAATTCAGCTTCATTTTGAACATTCTGCTTATGATCTCTGGCCTATCATCGGAATTACAATTTCTATCAGTACAAAAGCTTACCAGCTCAGTCCATTTTGGATTGCATGTGAACGTAATGAATAGGTCAGGAAATCCATAATGATTACATGTAGACATTGCATCCATGTACATGTTCTTCATGTATCTTGGCCCACCAACAAAAGTAGCTGGTAGATAAAATGCTTTTCCTTCTTCATTCATATCTGTCTTTCCTGCTGTTGCCGCCTCTTTAACTGAATCATAGTTAGTAGCTCGTAAACTTGACTGATTCAGTTTAATATATTTGAGCCTATTAGCTTCAATGGTGGTATAAGCATCAACCAAGAACTGCTGGTACAACCGTTTGGACCTTAGCAGGATACTTTGTTCATTCTTTCTCTCTTGTATACGATACGCATACCATTGACGCAAACTTATGCAATCATTCTCCTCAGTTCCTTCGGGCTTGTTTTTCTTTTTACCATGGTTATTCCCTTTCTGAATACCTGTCCTATAACCATCTTCACCCTTTGGAAACAATAGAGGGTATTGTAGAGCAAGATAACATGGTTCTATTTCACTGATTCTTTGTAAATACCCAGATTTTTCTTCAATAATAATGTCACGACTTGGCATACCAATGTGAAAATCACCTGGAATCAGCGCTGCGACCTCCGAAGCTGTTGGCACTGCATATGTTCTTCCATCTTTGACACGGTCACTCACTATTTTCATATGAAAGCTCTGTTCAGGATTGGTATTAAACCTATCACGAGCTTGTCTAAAATGAGCAACGTATGGATTAACTTCATTTAGCAGCTTTATTATCGCCTCAATTATTTCTTTTCTCAACTCTGACTTCTTCTTATATTTCCCAGCAGATTTTCCTTTGCTGAAATATTAATTTAGTTAGCAACGACACTAATACTTACAGAAAAAAACACAAAGTCTGGATACTGTGATGGCTTGTTTTGAGTTAGAAAATGTACCTTAAAATTCCTGCTCTGTTTTCAACTTCATTCTCTGTGTCAACTATATATAGCTGACTAAACTTAGGAAATTCACCTTCTCCAGGTTTCAAACTTCCCATCTGGTGGTAATTCTCTCCTTGTATCTGAAACATATTAGGACCCCTTCCCGCTGTAACAGAATTATCACACTTACCCCCAAGAGAAGTAAATGAAAAAATCATGTTATATGCTCGGATGTTCTCTCTAAAGTGTCTACTCATGTCATCATCATTGGTTAGCAAAGCAAATAACAGTTCTGGTTGATTATGGAGGAAAGGCAGTTTCACAGATCCTTGCAGACAACATTGAGTAAAAATTGGTTTACGAACTTTCTTATGTCTGTTGATGCGTTCGCCATACCACATAATAGCACCGCAGTAGGAACATGAGTAGACAGGATCTCCATGATCTAGATACTCTACAATAACGGGAATAAGTTTAGCATAAGTAAAGTTTGTGTAAGAAAAGAATTAGAAATAAACCAATGATGTAGTACCTGTGTTTTTGTTCTTTCTGATAGAAACATTAGGAGTTTTTATTTCTCCAAAAGCTTTGGTCAAACTTTCATCTAACATTGATAAAAACTCATATCTTTGTTTGACTTCGATTGGGATATCGTCTATGGTTTCATAATCTTCAGATGTTTCTGAATCATTTTCATCGATGGTACTCACTATTTAATTGAAACACGATCCAGCCCTTTAGTGATAAACTTGAATAACTTTTTGATAGATTGATTTTGGTTGCACCTACTAACATTACCTGATCAATAGAGAGGTCATTACGTTGGTCAGTCTGCTGGTCAGAATCTTCAATAGTATCTAGATTGTCAGATTCATTACCCAGCCAAACGGTTGAAACCTTGTAGGTATCATCAGTTTCATTGATGTTTTCCTTTCCAACAGTCACCAGAAACTGGAAAGTCTTTCCAACCAAATCTCTGATTGGCTGAGGCAAGTTTGTAGGATCCTGAATCTGTTATGATAGATTGAAAAAAGTATATAAGATATTTGAATAATATGGTCTATATACATATTAACAATAAATTTGTTTACCTCATCCCACTTCCCTTCCAGCAAATCCTCTGCAGACACACCGATTATCTCTTGTGCACTTTTATCAAAGATAAGACATTTAGTGTCTCCAGTGCTATCCATCACTCCAACGTTTAAAAGATACCTACATATCAAAGGAACAGGAAAGTAGATTATGTACCTAGTTATTATCTGACAAATGTAGATATATATTAGCAAATCTCAAAGTCTTACCTTGGTATCACCTTAGGAGTGTCTTCCTTACATGTTGGACACCAAAACATTTCTTTCTTGCCTTTCTTGACAATCTCATTTTCAACCTTTGGAATCTTATAGGCAGTTTTGCTACACTTGAGGCAACTAAAGAAATACCAAGAATAGTCTGTGTCGATATTCATTATGGTACAAATTATGTTGCACTTTCCAGTCTATTACAAAAAAATAGATAATTAGTAGTATAGACAGAGAATTTAATAGTTTCTAGAAAAAATAATATTATCCAATACAAATACCTCAGCAAAACAAAAGAGTCCAGAGATGGTTTTCCTTGGAAAACGATCATAGTAATCCTTTTTTCTCTGTTCTGCATTCACTTGTTTTGCCTTCGAGTCTTCGATAGTCAGTGGAATAACATCCGGTGGTAAACTATTTTTAACAAATAAAAGAACACGAAATCAACTTTAGATATTATAAAAAGGATTAACAGTTATCTATATTAGTAAAAGAAATGTGATGTTTAAACATATCTTACTTGGCCACAAAATCAAGAACAGCAGGGTAGGTAGCATTGATTTCCAATAGAGACATATCAAATGAATTTGAAACAGCTCTTTCACCTACAAACAGCATGATATTAGTATTTTCACATATGTTCTGATTTCATTTCGATTTCAAAATCATCCATTATTCCCAGTAACAACATTCTATACCTTTAAATGAGTTGATCTTTGCAAGCCGAAGTAAGCATATCACTCTCTCAGTCCCTGCATTTTGACATGCATTATACATTGCCTCAGCAAATCTCCCCCAAAGAGTGCATTTCAGCCTTTCATCACTACAATACAACAAAAATATTGAGAAAGTTTTAAGTTTAGATGTATGTAAGATTAAATAAAAAAGGTAGATTCATGATAAAACTTACTTTGTGTCTCTGAGTTCACACTCAAGTCTCTTTGTGATCTTGTTATTAACATCATGAATTTTCATTTCATTGAAACTAACTACCTGTCCAAGTACATCTGCAAAATAAGAGAGTAATATATTATATTTTCATGAAGAAGTTCCTATTATAATAGAAAAAGAAAATATACAATGGAAAGTAAGATAGATATAGTACCAATTAAGATGTTTTCACTCAATCCTGCTTCATTCAAAATATCTGGAAAGTTTGCCAGATCCACATAAATGTCATCAGAAACAGAAGGAGTGCGACTTATCACAGTTTTTTCCATCATGGACATTTTGAAACCATGTTTTGTGGCTCGATACTTTCCTGTTGATTTGGTTAGCGTAAAATGCTCGATAATACGCCATTCTCCAGAAACTATGAACCTTTGCAGTTTGCTCACTTGTGGCTTCTTAACAGTAGCATGAATCAAAGTACCCTGGCAACAGATAAAAAGAACTCATGTTAATCATCCAGTGATATTGATGATTGATAAATGTTTAATATGTTTCAAAATGATAGTTCTTATACTTACAGCTGTATCAGCAAGAACCATTTCAACTGTCTCCCCGGTGAATTGAGTGTATTGTGTCCACGAATGCACAATCTTAACTTGAATTTTCCAATGTGTTTTGAAGGGCTTAATGTCAGCAAGAGGGGTGAATGCTTGAATAGCTGCCATTTTATTAGAGAAATAGTGAAGTGGTAATGGTAAAGCTTTGAAAGGTGAGTTCTTTCTAATGCAGGTCCCTATATTTATAGTAATCATATGGAGCATTTAGTTTTATTAGGTTTTAGAGAATATAGGCCGTATAATATATTTTGGGATTAGGATCTTAAAGATATATGCTTGATTTAGGGAGATTTATTTGTTTGGTATATCAATATCGAACTGAATATGGATATTGTAGAGATTGTGTGAGTTTGAATACCAACTACTAAGGGAAATATAATAAGTTAGAATTATATATCTTTCAATATAGAGAAATTTGAATGATTGAGTTTTGCATGTAAAGAAATTTTTTAAAATTGGCATTGATAGTTTGTGTTGATATGGAAAGATCTTTGCGAGATTTGGGCGATAATTATCGAATAGGTTACAATATTGTATCTTTCCTATTAATATAGGGTAATAGGAATTAATAAGTTTTGCATTTAATTTGCCGTCTAAATATATATTTTTACATTGGAATGAACTGTTTCCGGTGATATGGTAAGATTTTTGCGAGATTTGAGTGTAATTAATCAAAAAATTAATTGCTAACTTATTCCCGATTTAGAATAAGTAAAGAATATGCTTGATTTGTTATTATATGGAATAGAAATAAATACGTTTTATTTTAGGAAGTGTAAATTATGAGATTTGTTTGTTAAAGCAATATACAGAGTAGTTGATTGATCCGGAAAAATAGTTATGGTATTGTTTGATTTGTGTTGCTAATGTTTTTATTTCGTATTATCTATACAGATTCGGAAATTTGAAGTAAAAGGGATTAACGATGGGCCTGTAGGAAATATCTAAGCCCAATAGGAAATATAGAATCTCATCGGGTCAGATTCACAGACGCAAAAGATCCGAGTGTAGGATCCGGGATCCGCGTCTCGCGTGCGGGAATTTTACAATTTTACCCCTCCACGCAAATTTTTATTTTGTCTTTGAAATTTTAATTGTAATGGCATTCTCTTGTAATTATTTACACTTGGTAAGGTTATTTTTCATGTAATCCTTCCCAATTAATAGTATAGATAATTATGACTTGTGTGAAATGATTGTACGGTTTGATATAAGTTAATGTTTTAGTTTAATAGTTGAATTAGTCAAACTAACTATTAGAGGCAACGTACTATGTACACGCAACAGTAAATAAACAAGAAAAATACCTTTTTCGTCAAAATTTTAAAAAATAGTTTAAATCATATTGTTGACTCTAAATTAATTTTACACCAATAAATTGCATGGATTGATAATTTCTTAATAAATAAGATATGACTTTAATTTCTTATAAGCGAGAGGTTGCCATTCAAACTTACCTTCATTTGTTAAATATAGACTTGGCAATAAAAAATTGCATGAACAGAAAAATCCTCCAATATTATTGCGAGGAAGAAAATGACGTCTCTATGACTCTATATATGTACATATATGGTACGTTAGACTAGGTACACATGCAGCTTGATAGAGAAGACGAAGAAGAATGGGTTCGAAAATATTGAGTATTGGTCTTATTCTATCTCTGTTTCTTCTTTGCTTCTCATCTGAAATTGGAGTCATTGAGGCTACTAGCCGAAAATTAGGTGAGTAATTGATTTCTAAATCTTCTTTTAATATTATCTTAGCTTCATTTATGTATACACTTGTAAAGTTTGTGTTCAAACTTAATATAGAGAAAGCAAAAATTGGCACTCCACCATCTAAAACATGCCGAGGTAAAACACGAGGAGGAGGATCATCTTCTCGAGGGTGGAGGAAGAGACCGTGTCCACGTCTTGCTTGAACATCCACAATAAACCCTTGAATAAGAAGAAAAAAAAAAGATCACTCGTTCATGTTACGTTACCAGTGAAACTGTTGTGCACCTGCAGTGACTTTGAGTTATCTCACACTGTTGTCCATTTATATATATAGACCAAATATTCATACAATAAATCTTCAAACTTTGAGTTAAAATTAAACGAAAGATACAGATTTTTGTTTTGTTGTTTATGTTGAACAAAAATTAAATGAATGATAAATTAAAAAAATAAAATAAAATAAAAAATGTAACAATGAATAAAAGCATTAGACACCAAAAAATCTCGAGGTTATCATAAATTGTCTAAAGCGGATAAACTATATAGAAAATTTTTCGAATAATCGATCTAGAACTCTAACCACTAAATATGATTGAGTAACTATAATTAATGATATCAACGACGAGATCTAAAAATCAAGAAACTTAACCATTGTACGTTTTAGTTCTAAGAGATAATCTACATAATTGTTCGAGTTAATATGTTGGGATGACGATGTATTTCCCCCCCATAACTTTCGTATAGCACCACTTCCACCCAAAGTTTCACTCTCTCTCTCTTTCTCCCCAGAATCAAAGTTCAAAAATTATTTCTCCCCAAATCTAAAATTCGATACATATCTTCACATAATGGTTGGTTTACTGGGTTGACGACGTAAACCCGATACGAAACCAAAAAACCCATAGGCCAAACCGAATTGAAAACCAGAATCGAGTTAATACCCGACCCGTAACCCGTGATATCAACAATTGTTCATAAATCCCCAAATTGAGAAATCACAGAACCCTAAAAAAGCTTTGAATTCAAATCACCACATCAAAGCTCCGATATCAAATCATCACATCGAAGCTCTGATTTCTTGCATCACATTGAAGATTTCAAAGTAATTTCAATGACGCCTTGATACACTTACGTATTAACCGTCTTCCTCCTCGTTTGAAGTCAAATCATTAGGTGTCACAAGCGAAGACAATAAAGGAAGAGAAGAATCTCCCAAAATGTAACGAGGAACCAATACTCCATTCCCAAGTTTGGTCGGAGCTCCATTGAGAATTAAACCCGAATCTGTGAACAAGAGACTTGTAAAAAGCATCGTGAGCGAGACAGAACATTGTGACCAAGTTTGAAGAAATGGATGATTGTTGTTATTCTATGTTGTAAGATCTTGATTGGTTAAAAAAATGCTTGGTTGATTCGATTGTGATCTAATGATGTTACTGAAAAAAATGCATTCAACAGAAAGAAAAAAAAAGAGAAAATGGAAGTTAAAATTGCATTCAATATGCATATTTTGTCTCAGACCAATAACATAACAAAAAATAGTTGAGAAGAATGAAAAATAGACCCTTAAAACAGACCAAAAGCTTTTACAAAAAAATAGACCAAAAGCTTCTTCTACCCTCCCTCCAAGCTCAGTTCAAGCTCATTTCCTGCGTGACAGTTCCTTGAGAAGGTTCACCTTGAGGAACCTGTAGTAACAACACAAATAAAATAAGTTAAACAAAGCATATAAAACATAGTATATAGACACATTAGATAATGAAACACAAACCTCTTTCTTCTTCTTATGAAACCTAGAGTTGTGATTAGCCGCACCACATACCCCACAATGCATAACTCGTTTCAGAAGCTTTGGTTGCTTCTTTAAAGGAGACTCATTTTTTCCTTTCTTTCTTTTCACCTTCTTACTCTTTTTTTTCCTGCCAGGCTGTGGAGGCTCAGGAGGTGGATGCACTGGAGGAGCTGTTCTAACAGGCCAAAACCTTGCACCTCTTAATGGAACTAGACCCTCTGTGTAGTTCCTCTTCCACTGGGCTGTACGAAACCAGTGGCAGACGTAATCCTCGGCTTTAAGTTTCAACTTAAGGATAACACCATATGCATGTACACATGGGATTCCTGTGATCTCCCATTTCCTACAGCTACAAGTCCTCTGATTCAAACTCACACGGTAAGAACAACCAGACAACATAGCTAAAAACATTTTATTTGTACTTCTGTGAACCTTAACTTCTGCAGCATCTTCAAGCTCTTTTGCAAGATATGCTTCCACATATGGTGTACATAAACCCTTGTGATCATGAGATTTAACACTTCTTTTGGCAATACGTACCATTGCAAGTCGAGCAATCATTTCTAACATAGGCACCAGTGGCTTCTCTCTTGCTTTGACTATCGTATTGTTAAATGATTCTGTGGAGTTGTTCTCAACATCTTCAACATAGTGGCCAATTTTGTAGAAAGCTCTACACCAACTCATTGGGTTCTACTTCATCACATCCTCATAAACACCCATATCATATTGCTTCAATTTCTCTAGGTTTTCTCTATACTCAGCCTCATTGTAACTCCATGCTAGATTCCAGATAAAAGGCTTCATCTGTGATTTCTTACCATGATTTGCCTTTAAATTTCCATATATGTGTCTCACACACATCCTATGTTCAATATGGGGTAACTCTATCTCCACAGCTCTAATCAATCCCTGTCACTGTCGGGAATGACATCGTGACGAATACACGGCTCATCAATGAATTCGATTACTGCTTGCTCGATGTTGAAATCATTTCGTGCGGTTTGGTCTTCTAGATTTTCATCATCGGGTTCCTCATCAATAGGAACATCGTTCATCTCGCTCTCTAGAACTGACATCGATGAAGATCAATGAACTTGCAGGTTTTGGTTTCGTGAGGAAGGGTTTTTGATATGGGGACATTTATAAGTTGAGGGATTTTATGATTTGGGTATTTAATCGGGTTTGGGTTTCGAGTTAAATTTGTTTAGGTTTGGTTTAAGTTTGTTTATGCTGGTTAAAACAAGATTAGTCTACAGTAAACCAACATTAACCCAACTTTATGTGAAAATTAGTTTTGAACTTTCATTTTATGTTGAAATAGGTTTTTAACTTTATATCTAGGGAGAAATAATTGTAGAACTATGATTCTGGGGAAAAATAGAGAGAGTGTAAAACTTTGGGTGGAAGTGATGTTATACGAAAGTTTTGGGGGGGAATTACCTTGTCGTTCCTAATATGTTTACAAACTGTCTTAGAAATATATAAAGCCCTTTTAGAGAAGTTTTGCTCATCTATGTTATTTTCGAAAATTTATCTAACACATTTAGTGCGTTAATTCACGTAAAACCATAACCTAGCTACCAACCCCGGTTCTAAATATATTTGGACATTTGGGCAAAAAAAATTTTTTTGGATTTTTTTGAATTTTTGGTTAAAATCGGGACTATTTTGTAAATAACTTTTGTCTTATTTTAAATTTTCAAAAAAATATACAGGCCTTTTTATGTAAAAGAATATAATTTTGAAAATTTTGGGCCTATTTATTAGAAAATTTCATGTCTATTTGCAATTGTTTTTCAAATATGGGCCTTTTTCATAAATGTTTTTAACAAAAATCTATGGTCCCCTCGGCCACTGCCCCTCTGTCCACTCTTTTTGGTCCGGGCCTACTAGCTACTTACTTTAATTTTTGCATTGTGATTTACTAGTGACAAAAAATTCTTAAGAGTAATGTTGTAAATCCTATCTTTAATATATTCGATTTTCTCTGATTGTTTGCTCAGATCTCACAAATCGATTTAGAACCTCAGCTCAAGAACACGATTAAACAAGAAACAATAAAGAACCTGAAACTCAATTTGTTAACCCGATTCAGCGAGATCGTTGTGATCACGCCTACATCCGGAGCCGAATCAATCCGGCAAATTCACTAGAATAAGAAGGAATCAGCTCAAATCCGACCTTACAATAGTCAAACAATGGTGGTTCTCTTTGCTCTCTCTCACTCGATACAAGAACAAAGAAATATGAAAGTGATTATGAAGTTAATGAAGAAGAAACTTATATCATGTATGATGTATCTCTGTATAAAACATAAGACCCTCCAGGGGCGGATTTAGAACTATATTTAGTATAGGGCATTGTTATAACTAATAATTAAATTATAGAGCATTTAAATAAATTTTACACTAGTTATTCAAGAAAATTAAAAATTTAGAGTGGGGCATATGCCACACCTAGTCTCTTCTTGCATCCGCCTTCACTGCAGTTTAAGATTTCTCTTGACTTTATCACATTTGTCGGTTTAATCAGCAATCTCCAAAACCGGAAATAACCACATGGTTCAACTCTTATTGATCCAATCAGACCGACGAGACCAACCTGAAATTGAATCAGACATATAAACCATGACACTCCACCTTGATTCAATTTCCTTCCTTCTATAGCAAATTTGCACTGACCATGGATTTAACCTCCGGCAAAGACGACTTCTCGTTATATTTAGAATTTGAATCAGTCATATGCCACTGCCAGCTTGCCACTCAATACAAAATTATAGTAAAAACTGGTCGTTACTATAAATAATTATTATCTTGGATTTTCTTCGCGATATTCGATTTTTATGTTTATTTGAGTTTATTAGGCTTTATTGTATATATTGTTAGAACTTATTTTGATTAGTTGCGCTGGACTATTTTTTCAGGTAATTTTCAAAATTGAAGTTCGTTTGAATGAGAAATGGAGATCCAAAATAATTAGCTTGAAAAGCTTAAGATTTTGACTAAAGGTCAAAGTGATTATTTTGGATGTTAGAGGAGAAACCCAAATACACATGGGCTGGATTTGGGTTTGAGACATGGGGTTTTGACTTGTGTTAGTCAAACACAATTGTCTTCTCCTTTAATTTGATTTTGTAACATTTGTGTTAATGACAAAATCAATTAGAAATGTGTAACCTATGAGCATTGATCATGAGATTAATGGTGGAAGATTTCCTCTCTCCAAGCAAGACATTAAATGTCTTGACCTAGTCTCCAAATCTTTTGTAGACTATAAAAGAGAGAGTCTTGGGTCTCATTCATATGATGGATCAAAAAGATCACAATCTCTTTCCTCATCTTTTCTCTAGTTATCGAGTCTGAGAGTATACACATCACTAGAGTTCGTTAGCCTTCTGATTTTGAGTGTTGCAAATCAGAAGATGGTGCGGTTGTATCCTGAGATTCTGATTGCATCAAACCGTCACATTATGGACAATTAAAGAATTAAGGAAAGACTGTCTCGCCTCCATACAAACTGTTCTTTTTTATCAAATATTGATATCGTTGCTGTATTTTTATTATGGTTTTTATCATCATCTATTACAATCATTCAGTTTTGCCACATCGTAGAAATCGTTGTCTTACTTATGTTGGTTGGATTTATACGGAATTTGAATTGATCACGAACTAGAGTAAAATTCAACACGCCTTCTTTTTCATATCGATTTTGTTTTGCGGAATAACGAAGGGAGAAAAAAAAAAGTAATCTGGAAATTAGAAAAAATACATTGAATACCAATATAACTACTTTTTCTTGTGATCTACGTCTTTGAGGAGACAACATTCCCATAATATATTTATCAAAGTACAAGAGCTTACAAAAAACAACACTGATGAATTTCAATATATATAACCGCGAAGGAGATGAAGCTTTAATTTGTTTAATATTAGAAGAAAAAAGTGCCATTATTCTAAAACGGTTCCTAAATCCTAACAACCCGTTTGCAAGTGACTCCCTCGTAAGCTACTTAATGCCCCAATTCTGTTAATGCTCTATAAAGTCTCTGAGTTCCATTTGGGTAAAACTTGACCTCTCCTCCAGCAAGAGTATTCTCCACACAAGGGCTATTTAATCCAATGATACAATTTGAATTACGTAATGAAAATAAAAATATGAAAATTAATTAACAAAATATAAATAATGAATTGAAAAGTTACATATTATATAAAAATGATTAAAATCATACAAAAATGATATCTGGACATTAGAAAAGTAACATACATAATAACCAAATAGCTAAATCTACTAGTCTGGCATCTGCAATATGAAGAAAAATTCGTAAATAGCCTCAATTTTTTTTTTTTTTTTTTTGACGAAAAATTACCTCAAAATCTTTATATTGAACATCATTATCCTCCTTCATTTCCGTCATCACCTCATTGCTTTACGAGATGTTTCGTCCCTTGATGCTTTTCTTGTCAGATGAATTTTCCCCAAAACGTTCCAATCATGGAACTCGGAGTGATCGAGGATGAAGTGGCACCGCCTTCGGAATGAATTCTAAGTCGTACCGACGGCCTTATTCACTAAAACACTCTTTACAAAAAGTTATAATAGGGAGAATTAATAGTTAGAAACTAGTTAACTCACCAAGATAGAAAAAATTTACTTACTGATTGGTAGACCTTGTCCAAATTGGTTTTTGATATCTTTCGGGATTGGATTAACTTGACTGCATGAATCCTCAGAGAGCGAAAGCTTAGATAATTTCTTGTTAACCTTCTTCTTGACAACCTTGATGATGGTGTACTAATTAAACCTTCTCGTTGACAATTGTTCTGTTGGACTTCCTCTTAGAAGTCACCTTTAGAAGGGTGATATGAGGTAATCTTTAGAAGCGTGGTATGAGGAAGAAGTTCTCTTCTTCTTCTTCAATCTCGAGCCAATCCGCATTTTCTCCCGCGAGCCCGAGTTGCTCGTGTGCGGCCAAAGCATCCGCCGGGTCCAGACTTGTGAGCCCTAGCCGCTCGTCTCTGATCAGTCGTCGTTCACTTTCTCCGCTTCTTCCTTGCTTCGCTGCCAGTGTGTGTGTGAGGAGATATAGATATCCAAGCTTCTAGTGTCTGAGAGATGGATCCATAATCTAGATCTAAACCCTAAAGTTCCTAAATCTTACATCTCTGAAACCTTAGTTGTCAAAACTACTAGATTTAAAAAATGTGGTACATTTGGCAAAAATCCATTTTTATAAAACCATTTGATATTAATTTTATAATAATAAGTTACATGATTTTGTGATAAAAGAAAGTATATGTTGCATACAAACGATTTAAACATTAAGCTAATACATTTCCATTTTTTATGATTCAAGCTAACCATAAGTTAAAATTTTGTCTGATTAATATTGTATCAATTATAGTTTGCTTTTGTATGTCAAACAATATTTTAGAATTAAGCAACCTGGTTTGGTTTGATCTTTGCAATTTTCCAATATTAAAAACTTGGCACAAAAGCATTTGATATTAATTTTATGGTAATATGTTGCATACAAATGATATGATTATGTGCTAAAAGATATGTAGAATACAAATTATTTCAAATAAGATAAATACATTTCCAAATTTTTTTATGGAAATTGTTTTAGTGTATAAAAAGAAAATATGATTATTGGTCCAAAAAGATATGTGATAAAATATTGTATAAATATTTTACTTTTATATGTCAAATAAAGTTCTCATTTATGATCATATTAAAGTTCGTCAAATCTTGAACTGAAATATCATTAGATTTTTTACATTTTAAATTTCAATGATGGCAAAAAGAAGTCCTCCAATCTCACATTTGCTTTTTGCGGATGATAGTCTCTTTTTCTGTAAAGCAGATACAGAGCAGTGTAAAACGGTGATGGATATTATTGGAAATTATGGCAAAGCTTCAGGGCAAGAGATAAATTTCAATAAATCTTCGGTCATATTTGGTAAGCGTGTAGCACACCAAAAGAAAGATGAACTAAAACATTTCCTTGGTATTACTAAGGAAGGTGGAATGGATACTTATTTGGGTATACCAGAGAGCCTAGGGGGCTCAAAAAATA